GGATTTTCACCGATCCTCACCTGGCCCGTATACGGGTAGCTTTTTTCCGAGTCGATGCCTCCGTTGTCGATGACGTAGCGGAAGGCCGCCTTGATGAAGCCGCCGTAGCAGCCGCGGTTGCCGTACTTGCCTGAGCAGTCCACGAGGTTCTGGGGGCTCAGGTCCACCAGGTGGCCCGTGACCCTGGCCAGCTGGCCCTCTAGAGCCCCCACCGCACTGAAGGCCCAGCAAGAACCACACGAACCCTAGAACCCCCGCCAACGAATCCCCTCTTGAAGAACACCTCTCCAACTTTGGACAGAATTTGCCTGCATCAACTCTTCACCTGCATCTTGACACTTGTGACGCGTCCTTGGTCCCTCCAGTCTACAGAGTCGGGAACGGCAGCCATTTGGCTGCGCGGCCATTCCGAAGACAGGTTGTGGAAGTCGGTGGGGGGAGTCAAGGTGGCGAAAGACTGACGGATCTCATCCAGTGTCTACGAATACAGATGTGAGGAAAATAAATAGATGCAATGTATTGGTACGCTCCAATCAGAGTCTCACCAGATCTCCAAGGACGTTCATGCTGAGCTGGTAGCTGTGGAGGCCCATTGATGCTTCCAGGTTGTGCCTTGTGATGAGCACCAGGTTCTTTTCCCACACTCCTCGGCGATGAAGCTCTTCCAGCTGAAGAGCCACAGACAAATGTGGAGCCAAGATGAAGATGCACGGCAGTCCCCCCACCTCCCCCCCAAAAAAACATGACTAACCTGGCTGTGGTACCATTTCCCATGCGTCTTCTTCCACAGCTTCCAGTGCTCATCCAGACTGATGTCCAGCATAGCTGCCACCAATGCCGCGTGCAGTGAGATGAGCAGCAGGCTCGTGAACATCAAGCCTGTTAATTCAGTGTCATTTAGATGTGAGACACGCAGAAAAAACAAAGCGGTTGCAATAAAAGTCTGAATCATTTGGAATGATCTGAAGCTTCGCAGAATGGCTGCTTGTAGGGAGAGCAGCAACGGGGATGAACTTTTTTTGCCATGCGCCGTCTCGTGGCGTGGCATGAAAATGACATGACTCGGCATTGTGTAACGGTGTGAAGTGGTGTGACACGCCGTATCGCGTGATGTGGGGTGATGTGACATGACATGACGTGGCATGGCCTAATGTGACTTGGGGTGCGGTGACGTGGCATGACATGGTGTGACGTGGCGTGAAATAATCTCAAGTGATGTGGCATGACTTGCCTGCATGACACGGCGTGACATGCAGGCACGACATAAGGTGAAGTAGCCCGGCGTGGTGTGACACGCCGTATCGCGTGATGTGGGGTGATGTGACATGACATGACGTGGCATGGCCTAATGTGACTTGGGGTGCGGTGACGTGGCATGACATGGTGTGACGTGGCGTGAAATAATCTCAAGTGATGTGGCATGACTTGCCTGCATGACACGGCGTGACATGCAGGCACGACATAAGGTGAAGTAGCCCGGCGTGGGATGACATGATGTGATGTCATGTGGCCGAACATGACATGATGTGGCATGTTGTCATTTTGGTTTGACATGGCGTGGCAAAAATGTAACATGGCATGACATGATGTGACCTGGCACGATGTAACATAGCATGTCGTGACGTGGCGTGATATGACGTGACATGGCATGACTAGCCTTGGCGTGACAAGAATGGCATGATACTTGGTATGACGTGGCATTACCTGACGTGATGAAAAATGACATGACACGGCACGACCTAATTTGGTGTGAAGTGACATGCCGTGGTGTGACATGATGTGAAGTGGAGTGGCATGACGCCACTTTGTATGGCATGACATGGCTTAGCATGACGTGACTTGCCGACGTTCGGTGTGACAAGGCGTACCTTGACGTGACATGTTGTGAAAGTGTAAAGTGATGCGTCATGACGTGACGTGGCTCCGCATGACTTGAAACGATGTATCGAAGCTATGGCGTGATGTTGACAATCTATCTGAGAGTGAAGTGGCGGACATCAAGGCGTTTGGAGAAACTTTTGTAACTCATTCTAGTTTCATGGAAGTTAACAACTCTTACTCGAAGGTCTTTGATGCTTCTGGCGAAAACGAAAATCCAAACTGCTGTGTGTCTTTTTATCGAGAAGAACAACTTGAACCAATGCCTCCAAACTCTTCACAATGATTGACTCTTGGTTCCTGACTCTTATTAGGTATTGGAGAAGTCATTAACTGTGGGACAAAGTTTCACACACGGCACTGTGACGGCGCTACACGGCGCCCAATCTAAACACATTTCTCGGGCCATATTTGTTTTTACGCAATGCGTGTCTGTTATTGTGACTTAGATAGGGATCAGCTCACATTTTAGGATCAATTTATGCAGAAATCCAGGTCATCCCAAAGTGCTTAGTGACTTCGGACATACAACGATGGGTTTTAACAATTTCAGGCAAGTAGACAGAGTTGTGCAACGTCATTGTAAATTTCTTCTGTTGCATCTCATTACCGTGTTCCTCATTTTGTGACTCGCTTTGATTTTCACATTTTTACCACACGCTGAATGAAAACACAATTTATAGCTAGTTCAAAAAGTGTTGAGTAGAAAAACAAAATCCTGAAGCATTAACTGTGCGTCCGTAAAGTGTCTTCAAGTGGAAGTCAAATGTCAACACGGTGACAGGATGAAAGTAAAGTTGCAGCATTTCCTGCACATGGCCCTTGAGCAACGAT